AACACACAGGAAACATTAAAAAGCTCCCGGCCGATCTCGACTTACCTTGAATGACGGTGTTGTCGGCGGGCAGCGGCGTTGTTCGTTCTCGGCAGGCAGCGGCGAGTTGGGAAGCTCACCGGGAGGAGAGGGCCAGACGCATGTCCCCAGCGTAGGCGCGAGCGGCTTAACTGACGTGGCGTGGCGTAAGCGGCGGGCGTAAGCAGCGTGAGCGGCGAGCGGGAAATTTGAATTTTAGCCGACGAATCGACGATGGAAAACGTTGGCAACGTTTTCCATTGTCGATTTTAATCGACTTAATCGAATAATTGTTGCAGCTCTAGTCATTTGTTTATCCCCGTGTACACCACCCCTGTGCTGCAAACTCCTGACATTTCATACTTCTCTTGCAGTGTGTCCCAGCTCTCAGAGATGATTGAACAGGAAGATGTTATTTTGGAACAGTTTGTTAATCTGCCACAGTTAAAACAGATAATATCTGATAAGGACGACCTTGTGAAAAACATAGAGGAACTAGCAAGTAAGAATGGTCAGATCTGTTGCTCAGTTCTATGTTGTGTGTAATCCGTTTACAAAATTCCTTTTTCTTTTCTTTTTAGAAAAGAATCTTAAGCTGGAGCCCATTCTTGAGTCAAAGCGGCAGGCACTGTTAGACAAAGTAAGTGTGATGAAAGTCATGTTTGCTGGGATGGTCTTACTGCTATTTTGTCTTCATCTTTGAGGTTTTTTGTGTTTTCTCTTCCAGTATGAGCTTCTCACACAAATGAAAACAGCATTTGAAAAGAAGTTGCAAAGACAGCATGAGCTGAGTGAGGTCTGTATAGTATGTATGTATGTATGCATGCATGCATACGTATGTGTATTGTATCTGTGTGTATCAGTGAACCTGTTTAGAAAGTCCTACCTAAAAGTTGGTACCACAAAGTGTTTCCTAATGCATTTGGTATCCAGAAAACCTTCCTCTATGTACCTCCCTGATCTAGTTTGATTGCTCTGCATTTTTTTTCTGACTTCTGGGGCCAAGTTTTGCCCATCTACTATCCTCATGTCCAGTGAGTGCATTTCATTAGCAGTTAAGGGCACTGTTGTAAGGCGGAGAGGGGGTTTAAGTGGCTCTCTTGTTCACTTTTTAACGGCTCATTCAGAAGGGGATGCACCCCCATAAAATTACCCGATCCAAGAAGGGACAGGTGCTGCGTGGTCACATGCACACTAAACCTGAACATCTGTGCGGGTCCGGGTGCCCACACTTGGACACAGAGAGTGTGCATCCAAGTGCAGTCACCCGGACCGCCACAGATGTGCAGGTTGAGGTATGGGTGTGACCACGTGTACTTGCGTGCAACTGCATCCTCCCATAGGGAAGAACAGGCTGCTGCACGCAATTACAAGCAGCACCTCTCTATGCTGGGCTCAGGTCATTTTACAGACAAATACGCCCATCTGAATGAAGCCTTAAGCTGAACTGCGGTTAGCGTCTAAAAATAATCTTTGTGTGATTGCCACTAAAAAGGTAACGTGAATGTGACTCCTATCACCCAGTATGAACTGGTTGTGCCACAAAAGAAAGTGAATACATCTTTGTTAGCAGACTGTATTACCTATGACTTGCCGATAATGCTGCCTTGGCCAAGAGCTTTCATCCTTTGCAAACTATGCTTTATAATACAATTATTTATGTTGAACTAAGGCTACTATTGACAGATGGAAATGCAGGTAATGATAGTGTATCACCTGTCATCCTGACCGATGTCTATAAAAACACCCATAATACTCCGTTATGAACTTGGTGCTTGTTTGCCTGTGTAGAGCTCTACAGAATTTGTACACAAGTGCAAAGAGCAGACTCTATAAAGAGCAACTGCACTTCTTAGCTTTGCTTTATGTTCAGAATTATTAAATATTACTTCGTACATATCACTGCTTGTCATTTTCGATTTTTATGGTAAAACGAGATTTTAAAGCTGAACTCCAGGGAAATTTCAAAACTACCCTTGCAGTGGGGCTCCCCCTACACTGCAAGGGTTCAATGTTCGTTTTCTCCAGGGCAGCCTTTCCCTACCAGGGTGCGGTGGAAATCTTGGGTGCCCTCATGTCATTTTTTTTTTCATTTTAGACAGAGATATCAAGATTTTATGCATACTTTAAAAGGGTGCCAAGAAAAAGAAGGTTGAGAAATGCTGGTCAAGGGCGTCATTAAAAAGCAGCTTTACATATGTGGCTTATTCAATGGAAGAGTTGCTTCCTACATTGTTTAGACTTTATGTTGACGTTTTAGGGTCCTGATTGCCCAACTGCCTTCCCCTGTCCATGAAGAGCACTTTAGTGACCTTTTAAGGGCTCTCTTATTGGACAGGGTGTACACAAGTGGATGGTGCTTAGCCCAGAGGCCAGGCCCCTAACAAAATGCAACTAATTAAAAGAGCCCACAGGGGAGGGTTTGTAGCTAATGGAAAACATCTTGTGATCCATTCTCTGAGTAATTGCTTTTGTTAGATGCTTGGATAACAGGTCATTTTTGGAGCCTAATAATTGCTGATTACAACCCAATATGTGTATATACTAAGTCCCACTTTTTTCCCCCATTAGAGCTGCAGTTTGAGTGCTCTACAGGCTAGGTTAAAAGTGGCGGCACATGAAGCAGAAGAGGAGTCCGATAGTATTGCAGAAAACTTCCTTGAGGGAAAAACAGAAATAGACGATTTCCTAAACTTGTTCATGGAAAAAAGAACAGTAAGTATTTCTGCATGAGGTTAGCAAGCATTATAATATTTGCTGCTAATTCATCAATTAGAATAATTTGTAGTGTTAAGAAAAATTGCTACCTTTTTAATATGATTTTAGTGTATATATCATCAGAAAGCATTGGTTTATAATGTATTGGCATATATATATAATATATATAATATATATATATATATATATATATATATATATATCGAGGTTAATCTTGGTGAAGAGATCTCTGCCACACGCAGTATGCATCTAAACTGACCATATAACCCTAATACTGTTAAAACAGAAAGGATCATACATAGGCCAGCTAATTGGTAATGACCAGCCTGGGTTATCTGATTTGTGAAAACCTATGATTTATTAATGATACAGTGAGTCATCTGTTCTTTGGTTGATTGGTCCCTCCTCCTTTTTTTTTTCACAGTGCTGTCACAGTAGAAGAGCCAAAGAAGAGAAACTTCAACAGACCATATCACTACACAGCCAATACCATGCACCACTATAGGTACCGTACTAAACAAGTAACCTCTATATGTATAGCAGTGTATTGCTGTGCTCTTCAATACATGAAATAATTCAGTATGATTTTTGACCTGCAGGTACAATGTAGCTGCAATGTTCCAATAATTTAGTGTTCTGCATCTTTCTACGTGCAGGGATGTAGTAACTCTGTATGATAAGTTTTGGATCCACCCCATTGGATCCAGTGATACCACAGGACTTGTTATTCCTGTATGGCCAAAGCTTTTGGTCTGTGAGTCTGACCACTGAAAAACTTCCGTACCAAATGACTTAATCATTTGTTTGGTGCACACTGTATTCTTGTTCCTGTTGTGTTTATCAGTGTTCCACACTCGGGCAAAGAAAAGATGTGTTGTGATATTCTGCATGCACTTTATTTAAACATCCTTTTTTCCCTTTCTGGTTTTCTGCACTGTTCTATAATGGATTTTTAATAGCAGGCCCCATATTACTTGTTGTAGTTGCATTGAAGTAGTATTTTTGTGTGCCTCGTATTGTGCTTGTACGTCCTGTGAACACACCACATTCTAGGATCAAGTTAAAGATTATCTTTAGATTTAGATGGCTGCCAAAAGAAACATGGGTAGCAGGACCCATCTAATCCACTATAATCTTTATTAACTGCCTTATAACTGTAATGATTTCTGTAGGGATAATCATGTCTCCAGACAGCAATAGATTTGTGAAATGTTTTATGTACATTCTGTTATTGTTTAGATGTTCTCAGTGTGTAGCTACACTAACACCATAAAAAGAAATGTGTTTAACCAGCGTGGCAAGAAACCACGTGAAAACTGTAGTAATATGACAACTAGTCATAATCTTTCTATATCTGCAGGGCTTGAAAATTCACTCATCCTCTCGGGCGAGTGGCTTCCCGGCCGGGAGCTTTTTGGATGGCTGTAGAGCCACTGGATCTCTTGTATAATGCGTGTGCGCGCACCCCTGCGCCGCTGCCGATCTCCATCCCCATTGTGTCCAGTGAGGGCTCTGCAACCGGTGATCAGCGGGAGGTCATCACATCTCCCGCTGATCTCCTCGTTCTCTGAATGCAGGAGTGATATATATTACATCACTTCCGCATTCAGCTGTCATTCTCCAGCTTCCAGTTGTTTTGTCTGGTTCCAGTGACGCTATATACCTATAGCCAGCAGAAATAAAAAAAATTCTGCCTTCTAAACATTAACAAACCTGTTGGTGGCCACCTATACAAAGTGATGCTGCTCCAGAGATCCATAATGGCTGCAAATGCTCTCTGCCCAGCCACACTACCCTTCTGTGTTTCGGGCAACTGTCACTCAAGGGGTAGGTCTCAGTTTGGTGGCCAGGACCAGGTACTGGGTTCGGTTCACGTTTGTGCTTGCCTTTCTATAGTTAGAGGTAGGAGAAAATACTGGCTCTGACTTAGTGATTTCCAGTAAGTCTTGCAAGGTACATGAAAATCTAAAGTAGGAGATCTCAGGAGAATAAATGAAATGGATGAAAGAAAAATACAAAGGCTTTGTAGGTTTCAGCATTATTTAAATCCACTATTGTTTGCCCCTACTACCTTACTGTTGGTCCTTGTTGTTCCCACCTCATGTTTCCTCTTGGTGTTTTTTTTTAGATGTTCTCTGTTCTACTTGAGGACTATACACATCTATGGAAGTCTTTCCCCAGGGGTGTTCCTTACCTGCCATTGGGCACCAGAATCTTTTGGTGGCCTTCCTGGCAGTGGCAATTCCCCATTGATCCTCAGCAATTTATCTTTCAGCCACATTTTTCCTCCAGATATTTTCTACCTGTATCCAACATCCTTTGAATTTCTGTTGCACACCCCCCAAATTGCTTGGGAGCGCCCCACCTGTCTCTGCATATCTATCTTCCATTGAGGAACACAGGAATGCAAAGATAATTTTTGTTCTTGCAGTCCATTGAGCGGCACAGGTCCCACCCTATGTGTCTTAGCCCTATGTACTGCTTGCTTACAAAACTGAGGCATGAAGTAAGATTAGGAGGTGGGGTGATAGTGGGTGGATGTTCATCTTTTTCTTTATCAGTGTCAACCTACTGGTACTGAATAACACACAAGTCTCAGAATACATTCAATCCTGTCTCTCAATGGAATCCAAGAATAACATTTTACCGTTAGTCTTGACAGTGCTTATTCATTGATTGGTTCCACTTGTTGCTTGGAATTGCTCTTTTAAAATCACAATTTGATTGTACAGAAAATTAAATGATTTCAGTTCTCCAACAGACATAGCTGAGAGACAGATGTCTTCCAAGTCCAGTTATACAGGTTTTTATGAATATGTAGATTGACATCTGCTGCTTTCAGCCTTGAAAAATCATACGTTCTAGCTCTTCAGCCTGCCCGCTGTCCTTTGCTGGCACCACTGCTGTTGGTCAAAAGTTACATCTATTCTAAGCTCTTTGTACCTACCTCAGTCCTCATCTCAGGTTCTAGACATCAGTTCGGACAGAGGGCGATGTTTGTTTGGAAAGGCAGATCTTTGGCAATTAGAATGAAAAGCTGTGGGAGCATAAAATTCCTGCTTGCTAAAATGGATTAAAAATGCCCCAGTAGCCCAAACAGATTAGAATGAATCTTGAATATTTTAGATATACTCTGGGGCCCCATATTCTTGTTACTGTAAGATGTATATACTCCTCTAACGGGAACTGAGGAGATCAAATCTAATCCTCTTTATTCCCAAGGTGTGTTAAATGTACTATCCCTTTGATGAGGTTAATAATAAACCTTGAATATACCACCCAAGAATTAAAGTGCCTTTTAAATGACCTGACATGTCATTTGTTCCGAGTCAAGAATCCTGTATACAGTACCCCTAAAAAGGTTTGGGTGACTGCTTTTGTTTTGTTCTGTCATGACGTTGCCTCTCGGTTCATAAAGCTGTGGCTAATCGAATTTGCAGGAACATCTGAAAGAATAGACTTTGATAGACAGATTCTTGATTTTCTGCTTACCCTGCTAATGACGTAAATTTCACTGCTTCTTCCTCCTCAGTCTGCAATATCACCGTGATTACTGCAGCCTCATCCTGTTTGGCTTATGAGGCTACATGAATGACCTGAGTCTGTATTTATCTTTCTTTCTGAATCTGTATTATATTTGCCCCAGAATTGCTTGATCCTGAACAAAGCTGCTAATGACAGTCGTGACTACTGTGTCAAAAGAAGGCATTTCTTGGCTGAAGGTTCTGATGGAAAAAAAGTGTGCTGCCCTGCCGTGTTGGAGAATTGTAAGAGCAATTCCACTCCTGAGGTGGAACAAAGCCTGTTCCTAATAAAGGTTCTTCATACCCTAAAGATCTTAGTCTCCATGACTCTCCACAAGGCAGATTTTGGTCTTGGAGACCAATGTCTGGATCTTTTAGAATAATCTGGTCCTACCATATCAGTGAGGTGAGATTGTCGCAAGTGTATTTATGCAAAAGGAGCCTTCAGCTTGTATTATCCTTGAGCCTGTTGAATACCTTATTTTCATGAAGGAGCCAAGAAGGGTCCAGTGTGAGCTGACTGTGATTTGAAGCCTTTATATCTAAAGAAGGTTGGCTTCTTGTGATCAGTCTCGTACAAGAGTCCCTTCAGTTTTGCCTCTGATCCATCTTATATGTCGTAAAGCTTTCTTTTGCCTCTACTTTCAATCAGTATACTGCGAAGCAAAGGTTTTACTTATTTAGTCACCTCTACCGTTAGGCTTAGTGGTTAGTACTTCTGCCTTGCAGCACTAGGGGGGTCTCCGATTCAAATCCCGGTCAGGACACTATCTGCAAGGAGTTTGCTTGTTCTCCCTGTGCTTGCGTGGGTTTCCTCTGGGTACTCTGGTTTCCTCCCACACTCCAACGAAAAGCTGGAAAATGAATTGGCTCCTGTCAAATTGGTCCTCGTATGTTTTCAAGTGAGATAGGGACTTTAAATTGTAAGCTCTTTGAGAGCAGGGACTGCTGTTAATGTGCAACTATGTAAAGCACTGCATAAATTGTTGGTGCTATATAAATACCTGTAATCAATTATACTGAAATCAGTCTTATACCATATGTTGAAGGTGATCTTTCCATTTCCTTACTAATGAGATATTCTGCTTAGGGCCGCAACCAACTAATCGATTAATTGATAACCGATAATAGGAACAGTTGTCAACTATTCTCATTATCAGTTTAGTTGGATCCCCTAGCTCTCCTCCACGCTGGGAGGAGGGCACAGCAAGCAGTGAGTGGGTGCAGTAGCCAGACTGCTATTGCTAAGATATTGCAATTTGAAATGGCCAATAGCGGGCTTGCTATTCCACCCGCCCACTACCTGCTATAGTTACAGTCAGCTGCCGTCTGCGGAATCTTGCCACTGGCAGCTGTCATTCCCTGGCTGCAGCTATTAAAGTGCCATGTGCTTACCAAAAAAAAAACTATAAAAGGTGGTACAAAGTCATCGGTTTTGGCCTGACAAATTCTGCTGCGGGATGGGCCATTCATTCAATCGCACCTCCCACCCACAGTGTGATCGCCCACACTGGAACACACGGTACCTCGATGCCGTGCATTCCAGTGCAGTGCTATTTGCAAAAAAAGTGTATAGAGTTTTATTCTGAAGGTAACTTTGTAACACTGCATTTGTGTATTTTTTTTATTTTAAATTAAGGATGGTATTTATTTATTTTTTTTTAATCGATAATCAGCCAACTAATCGATTATGAAAATAATCATTAGTTGCAGCCCTAATTCTGCTAACCTTCTGTGAAATCCCAGGACAAAGCTTAACTATTAATTAAATGCACGAGATGTCAAGTCTGAGTGCCTCAGTGGAGCTCAGCAATGGTATTAGGGTGTCCTCAATCCCAAATAATTCCATGAAGTTGTGGTGCCAGCTGGAGTTTAGGCAATTCTGAGGGGTATCTTATATATGTGATTCAGTTGTATGCAAGCAGTAAAAATAAAAGGACGTCTTTACCACCACTGATTGCGTGTCAGTTGGTACTGCTGTTGGATGGTGTCAACTCCAATACTCAGCAACATTAATGTGTGCAAGAGACCTGTGACTAGCAATAGATTCACGTTGTGTTTTTTGTAGAGGTTATTATAATTCATCCAATGGCTGCCTCTACTCCAACATAAACCTAATTTAAAGTTTACATAAAACTAATCTCTTCTAAAAGCTTTACATCGTTGTCATTTTCTGTTTTCCGGCTATTGACATGGAAATTGTAACCATCTTTTGACTGCATACAACACTGAATGAATCAAGGTACCCTACCGCTAACACTTTTTATATTAAGATGTGTGTAGGCTGCCTTGATTCTTTAGGCAATTGAAAGCTGCATGCTGGGGGTAAAACAACTAGAAGATCTCAGTATGTATGGACTGCATTGCGGTGGATCCACCAATGAAAGTCCATGTTTGCCATAAGCTGGTAAAGGATACCTGTCATTCATAAGCTGTTTTTCCTCTTACAGGTATCTCTAGAGAAGAATTTGGAACCCCAGAAAGCACAGTTTTGTATTCGAGTGGAAGCTGGAAATGACCTTACTTCATTTGTATTATATTCTGTTAATAGACTATTTGGTAGAGTTTCTTTTTGTACAATTTAACCCATCATTTTAATTTCACATGCTCTTGACTCTGCTGTAATTATTCTTCTAATATATTTTTACTTTCTGTTAACCATATTGGAATGATTTATATTAAATATTTCTTGTGAACTAAGCCTTTGCAACATTTGCAGTGTTATTTTATGGCTGTTGTTTTGCCATTCTTTGAGTACTATACATATTTGTTTTTATTTGATTTAATTTTTCAGAACAAGCTTTCAGGAGATCCATTCTACTGGTCGGGTAGTACTGATAGACCTAGGTTTTTGATAGATTGTCTATCAGTACTGCTTGAACTGGAAAAAGGTCCAATGAAATGCGGTGGTGTGTACAGTACTCAACTGTTTTGTTACAAGTGTGCTAACATGGCTAAAATCACCTTAGTCATGCTTTTGCTGAGGTGTGGTGCCCATTAGATACAGAGCCATACTTTTACAGCCAGTTGTACATTGTACACATGCCATTTCATGCTGACACTTCCTGCTCAGTGAAGTTATTTGACTGATTTAGTCTGTTTTCATGGGTTTCCGATATCTATAAACTTTGAGGATTTTAATATCTGGCTGCTAAGAGCTTTAAGCACTTGCTGGCGGCCACCTGAATAAGCTAGAGCTACCCAGAAGATTTTAGTAGCTGCTAAAATGGTTAGCGATTAATCGCTAGGTTAGCAAATGATCGCAGAACAAATGACTCCCTTTTGAGTAAGTTACGCACGTATCCGCTCTAAAGGTGCCCATACACTCTACAACCCTCGCAAGACTTTTGTCTTGCGAGGGTTGTAAAGTACTTGAAAAAACATACGATCTGCCCATCTTGGACAGGCAGATCGTACTTGCGATCATCGCAAGCCCGCCCCCCTGAGCGGCGGGCTTCCGATGACCGCAATGCTAAACGGGCAGTGTGCGCGTGCGCACACCGGCCCGTTCGGCGTTTGTCTCCCGAGCACCGTTCAAACCAGCCGAAAATCGTACGATTTTCGGCTGGTTTTCTAGCGTGCTCCGTAGACAAAAGACGTGCGACCGTACAGTAGAAACGGTTGCACGTCTTCGTTCACACTGCTCGATTCTTGTACGATCGCGGGATTTCCCGCGATTCTCGTACGAGAATCGAGCAGTGTATGGGCACCTTAAGGCTGGAGGAGCAATCGTAATCAAGTGGGAAAATCAAATCCATCCTAATACACATGACCAATATCCCCCCAAAATTACCACTAGTGTATCCTGAGAAAGGGCATGCATATAGGAATTTTCAGCAAATCTATGAAAAGCCCTGAATGTCATTGACAGTGCTATTAAGATTTTCCCTTTCCTGCTTTCATTGCAGCATGAGTAATTGGCAAAATGTGTTTAGGTGGTTAAAGTACGATATGGGAGATCCTTGTTGCACTCCTTACCGGAATTCCCATATGGCTACACTAACTGGTGCTAGGAATGACTGTGGATGGCGGCGCCACCAACTGATAGTAGAAATATGTCATTTATTGACGTATGCTATCCCTCATTTGCAAGCGCTTTCAGGGGCCACGCAGGGTCCCCTTCATCAGGCTCAGGCGCCATCTCTAAGCCTGATGAAGGGGACCCTGCGTAGCCCCAAAAGCACTTGATTCTACTTTGAGTGACTTCTGAAAAATAAAAA